CTTTTATAAATACTCCAATATGATGACAGTATTTAAAAAAAAATCTTCTCACTTATAATTTAGTATGTATCATTATTCAGAGTACCTTTGAATCTCTTTATCGGATAAAAATTTTCTTTTCTTATATTTTTACTAATTTTTTATTATTTTTATTAATAATTTTTTCTATTTTTTATTTTTAATTTTAAAATTTTATCAAAAGTTAGAAACCATTTTTTTATTTGTATCATAGTTATTAATTATTAATTACTATTTTTTATCATTATTTTATAAGGTTTATTTCAAATGTTAACAAAATTATCAAAAATTTTAAGTATTTATATTATTGTTTATTTATTTTGTTTTCATTTTTTACTAATTATTATCATAAAACCAATAAAAATTTATTCTTGCAAACCTAAATATTTTAACATTCACAAATATTAATGATAAAAATTCAAAATAACAAAATAATATTGAAAAAATTATTCAAAAAAATTCAAAAAAAATTTTTACCTAAACTTGACCAATAAACGGTTCGATCAAAGCCAACCTGAGTCGGTCTGGATTAGTTAAAAGTTAGAAGGGAGTCAGGTTGTGGGTCAGTTGCACAGACACCAGGTTTAGTCATCGGGTCACGCGCAAATCTTAGATCCAGTAACGGCATCATTTTATTTTTTTTTAACTATAAAAGCCAAAAAAAATTTGTTTCATTTTCTTTCTTCCCATTCACTTTCTACCTTTCTCTCTCTCCCAAACTCCCTCTTTGTAGCCCTAATCAATCACCTTATTCCCAGAATCCTGCATCAATGCACTATGCCATCCACCAATTGTTGTCACCATCATCATCCGTTGACCAACAGTTGCTAAAAAACCCAAAAACTTTTAAAAAAAATTTTCGTCAACCCTCTAAACATGGATCAGAGCTTAGTTTTGCAAAATAAGGCTTCAAACGACGTAAATCTAACCTAGAAGATTCGGCCAAAATGATTTTTTTGTCTTTTTAAACTTTATGGCTTTTGATTGGCGCTGTTGGTTCTCGTTCCAGAGATTGTGATTTTTTGTTTGTGTTTTTTTTTTTGTTTTTTAGTATGCTAGAAAAACCTTTTTTTTTCAAAGTTTTTCTTTTTCTAGGTATGTTGGATTCTTTTTGTAGACACTTATTTTTTTTTCTTTTTTTGAACCAAGTTTTTCGGTGAATTGATAAAGGCAAAGTTTCAATCTTATTAGAACTTTAGGATAAAGGAATTTCAATTTTGAAATTAAGAAAAAAAATTTTTAAAAAGGGATATCAGATGAAAAGATAAGAGGATTCTGATTTGAACCCTCAAAGAGCCCTATAAGAGCCAACAATCACATAGCGAAGACATAAAGGGGGAGAAAATGGGAATAATTAGAATCAAGTTTTTTTCAGTAAAAGGTTCTCGAGAAATTGATGGTTTTTGGTGATTTTTTCTAAGTTTTTTGGAAATTTTTTAAAAATTTCTAAAATTCAGTGAATTTTTCGGTGACCTTCCAATGAAAAACTCAGTTTTCGATGATAAAACTCAAAAATCGATGATTTTTTTGGTTACATTCAATGATAAATGGCAATTGAAAATTGCCTAGAAAGAGGGACAGAAGAGAGGAAAGAGAGAATGAGAGAGACATCTGAAGAAAAGAGAGAATTCTTATCTTTTATACTTACATGAAATGATGCCATTTTGAAAAGTTAAAAAAACAGGTGGGATCTACATGTCGCTCGAAATCTGACCCGACCTATATTACATAGACCCGTCAACCCATCTTCTTTAGCCGCTACTAAACCGTTGAGTCGAGTCGCATACCAAGCCATTCTAGCCAATTTTGTCTCTAGAGCAGCACTCTGTCTAAGCTCAGCCGAGCCACGCCAAAGATTTTTTTTTCCTTTCTTTTTCCATTTAGATTTATTATTTATCTATTGATTATTATTTTTTCCTTATTTATTTATTGACTAAATTAAATTAAGTTATTTATTTAATTAAACATCCTTAAATTTTCAATGATTTTTTTAAAAAAATAAAAATTTTAAAAATATATTTTTTGAGAAAAAGTTGATAGTATTAATTTTTCTTAAAAATAAAAACTTCAAAAAATATTTTTTGATAAAAAATTGAAAGTATCAATTTTTCTTAAAATAAAATTTTTAAAAATATTTTTGATAAAAGTTGAAAGTATCAATTTTCTTTGAAAATAAAATTTCAAAAAAATATTTTTGGGAAAAAGTTGAAAGTATCAATTTTTCTTGAAAATTGATGAATTAAAAAAACAAAAAAAAGAAAATCGATTTTCTAAATAAGTTGAAGTATTTTTTCCTTTTTTTGAAATTATTTTTAATATTAAATAATTCGACGACAGAGTCTTTGCTAGAGAAATAGTAGTTTCTTTGTATACTCTTGAGGTGAAATTTTTTTTTAATTTTTTACCAAAAATATTGTAGTCAATTAAAAATAATTTTTAATAATTAATTACTTAATAAAATTTTTAAGGCTTAATGGATAACACGAAATCAAGTCGGTACCATCTTTCAAAAGACAATGTGAGGATGCTATAACATTTTTCACACGTAATTATACTCCCAAATCTAATTTTAATTTCGCAAACATTGAATTCACTCTTTAAAGATACCTAAGTTAAACTTAGGGTGCACTTTAAAAAGGGACAAATTCGATTAGATGGCTAATCGCACCTAAACAAAAAATATTTATAACGATTCCTCAAGTCGATGTCTAACGATAGGTTTTCGGATATAAAAGTTATGATATTTTTTTTATTTTTTTACAATTTTTTTTATGGAATCTAGTTTTTTTTTTTTTTGGTTTTTCCTTTCTATTTTTATCTTTCGTGGCTTTATTTATAGAGCCAAAATAAATATCAAAACTTAAAAAAAATAAAAATTTTGTTGAACTTTGGTCGCCTAAGATTAGGGCTGCCTTCAAAGCGATGGTCAATGGCTATCAGAGTTGTGGCAGTTGGTACAAAAAATGCCCGAAAAGAAAGAAGGAAAAAATAAAGGAAAAGAAAAGAACAAAATAAAAAAATAAAAAGATAATAATAATAATAATAATAATAATAATAAAATGGGTGTTTACATATTTTGTAATTTTATATAAAATAACATTTAATTAATTTATAAATTATTGATTCAATAAGGATGAAATATTTTATTTTTATGAAGATTATTTTAAATATTTTATATTATATGATTTTTTATATAATATCAAATACAATAATTTAAAATTGCTAATTATTTATAATATTGTATCAAATATAATAATTTAAAATCACTAATAATTAAATTAATTTAATAATTTTATTATTATAATAATTAAATTACTACAATAATCTTAAAAATATTTCTAACGTTACCTATACGAACTATCAATTAATGGGTGAACAATCAAAATCTAAAGAAAGCAAAGTTTTTAGCCTTAAAAACATACAACTGCATGCAAGTTGCAATAAGCGCGTCTTTGACAGTCTCGGCCTTTTCCCTCGAATTAAAAAATACGTTTTGAAACGACATATTCCAACTTCAAAATTGAAAAAGACAGGAGTTTTACTCTCTTGTACCAAGTCACATAGACATTTTACTTCGCCACTACGCAACTTAACCATCCTATTTGGTTTTAATCTTGAGTTAAAATTTAATATATTTTCAGCGTAAAATTTTAATTATATAAATAAGATTAAAAAAGTGATATATATTTTATTTTTAAAATATATTTTAAAATATATATTATCTTTTAAATTTTATCTGTATAATTAAAATTATATACCGATAATATATCAAATATTAATTTTTTAATTTTTAAGATTCATTTGGGGGTTATTAATTTGAAAATTTTTTGTTTATTGAATAAAATATGTTAGATTTTTTTTAGTAAGAAATACATATCGTTGGAAAAAAAATGTTTATGTGCTTGATTATTTCAAATTTGATTTTAAATTCTCAATAAAATTTCTATAAATACCTTTATATATTTGGTTTGAGAGGAATTTTTAAATGGATTGATATAATACCAAATGATAATAGTTTATCTTTTATGCCCTTTTACTTGATTTTGAGATTATTGCCATGTATAAAAAATTTAATGCCCATGAATCCAATAGTTTTTACTACTATTGATTTTTAGTAATCGTCACATAACTTTTTCATTTTTTAGTAATCATCACCCACTTTTTGTATTATTATTATTATTGTTATTATTGCACACTCTCATAAAAATGCATAAATGGATGAAGGAAAATTAAGAAAATATTAGGAAAAACAGAAAGATGGAGAAAGTTGAAGATGAAAAAAAAAAAGATGGGGATTATGTTTATATACAAAATTACTAATATAATCCCAAATTTTTTTATATAATTAATTTTTTTCAATATTATAGTTATAAATATCAAAAGTGAAAATCAACTCATGTATGTTAACTGAATTTATTATATTTATAATTGATTGTATTTTTACTTGAAAAAAGAGACGTCAAAATTAATCTTTTAATATATGATTAATTGTGAGATAAAATTGAATTTTTTATAGAATAATATTATTTGAATTTGTTAATAATTACTTGGATTATTGATAAAATATTAAAATTTTAATTTTAATGATTAAAACTTAAATTTTCACAACCGCAAATAAGAAAAAAAAACTATTATTTTGTTTCATTTATGGGTTTCGACTGTCTGAGAATTAAATAATTATACTCATTTATGTGATAAGGAATAACAATCATTATAACGATCTATTGACTGTGAATTGCTGATCGAATAATTGATCTATAAATACTTTTATTAGCATTTTTTAATTTTCTTTAACGACTTCATTGATGAGATCGAGCATGGCAAAACCTAGGCAGACTGGGCTTTAAGAAAAGCAAGCTCAGAAGCGTAGGCTTTGTACGAAAACCTTGACCAATTTATGTTCCAACTCTTTCCCACTTTCACCACAGGCGTGTGGAAATTTCCAGGCAAAGCCCCATTTGCCCCTCGCTTTCTCATTCCACTCGTTTCTCTCACCATTGCCTCTCTCTTCTTGCCTATTGACTTCCATGATCAATCCTCAAGAACCTCTCCCTTCCCTACCCTCTCTCTCTTCTCATATTTATAAATAGAGACAAATCCCATGTGTTAAAAGCGTTGCCACCGTTACTTTGAGCAACTCATTTCTTTAAGGTAGGTATATTTGATATAGAATATTTAGACAGGATCAGAGATTAAAGAAACAGAAAGAGTGAAAAATGAAGGATATGCCACCTGGTTTTCGGTTCTATCCAACAGAAGAAGAGTTGGTTTCATTTTATCTTCATCACAAGCTGGAAAGGAAGAGGGAGGATTTGAACCGACTTATGGATCGGGTTATACCAATTGTCGACATTTATGACTTCAATCCTTGGGATCTTCCACGTAATTTATAACAATCTAGATACCATTAATTTAAAGCTCAAATAGCTATTACTGATCCTATAGCTACTATATATTTCTTTTAATTGTGTATTTTTCCCTCATTTGATGAGTTTTCTTGATGCAGAATTTTCACTGCAACTATGCCATAAGGACCCTGAACAATGGTTCTTTTTCATTCCAAGACAAGAGAATGAAGTTCGGGGAGGAAGACCAAGGCGGCTAACATCAACTGGGTACTGGAAAGCTACTGGTTCTCCTGGTTGTGTTTATTCTTCCGGAAATCGCCCTATCGGCATAAAAAGAACCATGGTTTTTTATAATGGGAGAGCTCCTAATGGAAGAAAAACTGAGTGGAAGATGAATGAATACAAAGCCATTGAAGAAGCAGATTCATCTAATGGTGCAACTCCATCTGTAAGAAAACATATTTTATCGTACTTTTTTTTCTTTAATCAAATTAATGATGAATATGGTGTATTTGACTTGACAAACTTGGAAAGCCAAAACTCATCAACAAATACTAAATTACATGTATTTTCTCCATTTTTTTATTTACAGTTAAGGCATGAATTCAGCTTGTGCCGGGTGTACAAGAAATCGAAATGTTTGCGGTCATTTGACAGGCGACCACCAGCAGTAGGAGCGCAGATATGTGAGCCAGCTGCAGTTCATCAAAGTCAAGCTACGGTTGGAGCAGCAGCATCTCAACATCAGAGCCCTCGATTAAAGGCGCCTGAGAGAACCATAAGCTCACCAGAGAGTTCATCCTCAGGAGATCATCGGAATCCATCACAAACTGGAGAAAGCAGCAACTCATCAGCCATGGTAGTTGACTATGATGAATTTTTCTGGAACCTTGATGGCTTCTGGGAATCTGGGATTCCATGAAGTACAAAGAGAGAGGATTTAATTTCGAGCTCAAGCTGACTTTGGATGGAATCTTCCAGGCTAGGAATTCAATTAACCTTTAAATCAAAAATAAGCTTCTGATGTTATTGGTTAAAAATCCAAATTAACTTCGAAAGCATATATAGTGCTTTTCTTTCTTTCATCTTTTTAGTTTGTCTTCATCCTTTTCCTCCCATCGATCAAAGAGAAAAAGAAAAAAAATTTGAACTTTCAGAAATAGTTTAAACTATTGAATTCATGCAGGCGAAAGTAGCAGAGATACATAGGTGAAGAAAACTGTAATTCAAGTATGAATGCTATAAATAATGTGAATGCTTCATACATATATAATTTGTTTAAATTAAACTTTTCGAGACATCATAAAAAATTTGGATTGAAACTTTTGGGACCGAATTAAGAGACAAAATAAATTTAATGTTTGAATTATTTTCTAAACCTGCTTTCTTAATTAGCATAAAGTCGAGAATTCATGGTGTTGGATTAAGATTTCATTTGATAGATTTTTTTTTTTTTTGTAAAAAAACAAATATATAACAAAAAATAAAAACATTTATCAAATAGAACTTAAGAAAATCAAATCCGTGTATTAATAATTATATATATAACTTTCACAATCACTATTAATTCCAATTAATTAAGTTTAAGTAAATTTCATTGCTACTTTTTAATAAGGTCGTACATAAACTCTCAAGTAAAACTTAAAGTCGCTGCTTGATTTCAAAAGGGTATATCCATTAATTCTTCAAACCTCATTTGCATGGCATATTTGTGGATACCACATTTATGCCAATAGCTATCTTGGATAATTGATTGGATTAATCAGACTAATTTAATGCCAAATTCAAAAGGGAAAAGTAATGACAATGTGTCACAATCATTTCGTTTTCTAACCCTTTTTTTTTTTTTTTTTCTCTTTAATTTTAATAGCTAATTTGAAAAGGATTCTGGAAAATTAAATTTTACTATATTATATGTGTGAGAGTTTATTATTTTGTTGCCAAGCCCGCTTGAGATCAAGCTAACTTTACAAAACTCATGCTTGAATGTGTTTGAAATAAAAATGATATTCAAATAAATCTTTGAATTTTATTAAAAAATATAAGTTTTAAATTTTTATTACATAAAATTAAGATTATAAATTTTTATTTCATTGTAATTATATTTATTAAATCTTATGGATAAATAAAATCCAATTGTAAGAATTTTTAAAGTAATATTTTCTCAAATATTTGTTACCCAACTTATTCAAACAAATGCAAGTAAAAACTTCCAACCAATAAAATTTTAGCAAAAAATTGATTAGTTTATAAAATCAAATATTTAATTATAATAAAATGAAAATTTATAGTCTTAATTTATACAATAAAAATTGATAATTTCTTTGTATTTTTAGTAAAGTTCGATAAGTTTTTTGAATATTATCCTGTTTGAAATATTTAAAGTTTTTATTATATCATAATTATCCTTGATTAACTAAACATACCTTAACTTCATCTCTTTTTATTATTATTATTATTTTATGAGAAACAAATTTAAGCTGAATTTGAGCCAAAAGTTTAGGGGTTTCATCCATTTGAAATACCATACACATTAATCCCTTTGGCACGTCGAAATAAGTAATTCACATATTTAAACACAAAGCATTGACCAAAAGCTCAAAATCATCTTTACAAAATACAAATAGAGTATTACTATAAGCTAGTAATTGGTTTCCGTATTGACCAAATTGCAAGTTTAAGTTTTATTTGGTTGGATGGATGTGAAAAAGTGAAGATAAAAAATTTATTAAGTTAATGATTAATATTCATAACATTTTTATTTTATAACTTAATTATTAAATTAACGAAATTTTCATTCTCATCTCTTTCTATTTTTCCAACCAAGCAAAGCTTTGATGTTGGTGAAAAAAAAGAATGCATCTATCCTTCAAACACATGCAGTGATGAATTCATGATACTTTTGGGTGTTCACTTTATGCGGTGGGTGTTTGGTCGGCTGTGGGCTGTGATTAGGTACTGTACAGTCGTAGTAAGTGAAGTATTAAGGAAATTAATATATATATATATATGTTCACAGAAAATTTTTGGGATATTTAGAAAATAAAATTTAAAAGAAAGAAAATTTTTTCTTTTTTTAATTTTAAGATGTTCATGACACCTTACTATAGCATTTACATTCGCCATTGAACACATGTAGAAGAAAATTGCCAATAAAGACGAAGAGAATCTCTTGGCTCACGTCCCCACCACCCTTCAATTTCTCTCAATCGATCATGGATGGAAAATATTCAAAGAAAGTGGTCCATTCTCAGTTCTTTCGAGAACGTTTTTTCTTCTAAAGATGATAACCGAATTTTTAAGGATCAATATGTATTTGATTTTCTATGTGCACATGTCAAATCTTTTAAATATTAACTTATATTTCCCTCATAACAAAGACTAAAATTTAAAAATTAATTTCTAAGACGTCAATATATGTATATTACGATACCTATGTTTAAGCTTGTGCATGCATTTTTCCGGGTTTGATTGAAGTCTTCTAAGTAATTTGTGGTTTTCTGGGAATATTTCCGCTGGCCCTCTCCCATTAAACAGTGGATTTTTTTTTTTTTAAATGAAGAAAGACTTAATTTTTGGAATTTGACAATACACCCAATTTTCATGACAATGGTGTTTCTGAATTCTAAAGTCAGTGCACGTTTAGGTACATATACAACCAAAAACAGGCAAGAAAATAAAAAGCATGGAGCCCCATGTTTTCCAGTCCCAATACAAATTTAGGAAACATCTTCATTTGGAAATTGACAATGCCCCCATTTTCATGACAATGGTGTTTCTGAATTCTAAAGTCAGGGAATGTTTAGGTACATATACTACCAAAAACAGGCAAGAAAATAAAAGCATAGAGTCCCATGTTTTCCAGTCCCACTACAAATTGAAGAAACATCTTAAAGTATTTGGTCAAAAGCTATGAACATCATGAAATGGCCGTTAACTGTCTTCCCTTCTGCCATTATTCCCGGTTTTCCACCACATTTTTTTACTTTGTATCCTTTTCTCTCTCTTTTCTTTTTTTGGTTTCTTTTCTTCTCTCCCAAGATTTTTCCTTGTATATTCATATCCCCAAGCAAAACATGAAACTATAATGCTGAAGAAAAGAAAAAGAAAAACCTGCCGCAGTTAATCAGAAAGTTCTTAAAAGTACAGGAAATTTTCCATTGCTTTTCCGCAATGAATATTCATCAATCATATATGATAATATTGTTAAAGAGTTCCATTGATTTTAATAATAATACTATTTATATCAGATAAACAGATAAATAAAAAAATGACAATTTTCAACGGATGCTTATGATTATTTGTAAGATACTATAGATTAACACTGTTTATAAGTAGATATGATAAAATTTGAGGCAATAAACACTTTTTCTTTCTCTGGAGGGGATGACACCCATTTAACGATAGTGTCTGAATCCAGTTACGGGTCAAAAGCTTCAGCAACTCAATCGCTTGTCTTTGTAACATAGACCACAATGGCTGCCAAAGACTGGTGACCCCTCCCCAGTCCCTGCACCTTCCATCTATTCTCTCTGCTTTCCCTCCCACATCAAAAATCCATTGACCTGGACAGGATAGTTTGGGTATCTAATCATATTTTAACAATGTTTCCTCTGAGTGAAGTTTGCTGAAAGTAATAATCATTTGTTTCGCAAAATAAGTAAATAAGTGAGCTTCAATTGTTCAGTTGTTCAAATGAAAAAGGTATAATATGATACAAGTATTCCTACGTACATCAAACACTTGAAGCAAACAAAGTCAGCAGAAGGTATACAATAAGATTTACAAATTGAAAATTTTCTGTTTCTTTTCCCTAGCAAATGGATCATACATTTCACAACTAATCAGACATCATAGATCCCCGGGAACAACATGTTAAGTTACATGAAAACTTGCAGCCAGCATTTATTACCAGTCATCTTCAAGGCTAGCACGGTGAAAACACAAGACAGTGCAGACAAATATGATGAATGATGTAAATTCAATGAACATGGCACCAGTCGAAATCATATGAGCATGCCTAAGAATAATGGGAATTGCAAAGCTTCCCACAGCAGATGCCCCTGTAAGAAATTTGGCAGCATCTATCCAACTGCAACAAATCAACAAAAATTAAAATATTGACACAAGAACCAAAGTAAGAGATATACATAGGGATTTCACACACACACACAGACAACTTCCTGCTAATTTCTGCAAGAAAGCTCAACAGAAAAGGTGATCAAGAAAACAAGGTGACAAATTCAGGAATATCAAGAGTCCATACATCACATTCCCAACGCAACCAGTGACTTCTATCAAGAAATTCTTATGCTAATCAAACACATCAGGCAAAATATAAGAAAGAGTTTTTAAAAGCTTAGATCTGTAAGTGCTCACCCCCCACCATCTCGGCTAGTTAAAAACTGAGTCGACCCACCTCCGAAGAATAAACAAGGCATTGGGACTAGGACATACATGAGAGCTGTGAATAGAAGTAGATTTACATTATCAATCATTTAAATGCAAATCAATGTATAAATAGCATGACCAACTTGTAATCGCCCGTCTCACCTGAAAGCATTGGCCACCAGTTGTTGTATAGTGCACAAGCCTAACACAAGAATTAACAAAAAATTACTATGATATCAGTCAATATATTATTGGGAACTGTTGTATTTCTTTCTTTTTTCTTTTTTTTTTAATAGGAGCTGCCGTATTCAAAATTTGAGTGAATTTGCTAGTTTGCATTGAGAAACAAGCCTAAGAAGAAACCAAAAGTACTTAAGCTCTTAAAACAGTTGCATCAGTCAATGGATGGATGAATACAACCAGCAATTTCTGGATCCTAGATTCATTTTATGCAGAAAATCAGAATTTCAGATTAATATAACAGATTCTTCAAACAGGGAAGAAAAACCTGCCTCCCCCAACTAAATCCCCTCCATGAAAATATTTGTTTTCCATTTTTCCAGCCTAAGGCCCAATTCGTAGAGGTGCTAGAAAGCAAATCGACCCTATAACAGCAATTAAGAGGAGGATCGGAGTGTCACTTAAATAAAGTATTAGTCACTTCAATGCAGTCAAAGGCATCAAGTCCAAGGAACAAAATCACCTTAAATATAAACAAGCGCATCCTGAAGAACTTAGGCTTTTAGCAAGCATATTAACAACTTATATTGTTACACTAACCAAACACAAAGTAGAGATATACTCCAAGTCCTTCCAAAATAAGGTAAAACAGAAAAATATACTGTATGTTTTACAGAAAAATGCCAAACATTATGTCAATGGTTAAAAGACTTCCTTTTGCAATTGTAAACCCGATATCTACCCCAATATGTCAGCTGGATTTTTTTCTTTTAAAAGCAGGGATACATTCAATAAGAAAAATAAGAACGGGCAGCTAGAATTAAAAAAACATGAATCTTGTAATCATCCCAAAAGCATATTAGCCATTATGACTCTAACGTCCTAGGTGAACATGCCATCTCTTTTCGGTCAATGTACTTTTAACTATTAGAAAGTTCAGTTATAGTCTAAGCATGTGCAGTAGTATTTTGATATATATCAGACAGTTCTGGGGATTAAATTGCTACATGCAGGCTAAAGATAGTAGCATGGTTTCAACAGTAAACCCCATTCTTCATCAGGTGAAAACAAGCAATTTCTATTGGATGTACACCAAAAGGTCCATAAAATCCATCTAGGCACAAAAGAAGACATCATGACATTACATGTCTACAAAAAAATCTGGAGTTTGGTTTCACCTAAATAGTCCATAGCATCACTAAAGACAATCAGAATCAAATCACCTAAGCCTTCCCTTCAAGACAGGATGGTGTAAGTAAATACGTTTACTAGATAACGAAATGATCATACCAAAGCAAGTGTAAGACCATCAAACTTCAATTTTCTTGACAATTACAAGAGGATCCAACAAAGTTGCATTCTTTTCCCCACATTTTCTGCTGATTCACTCTGTTTCAAACTAAAAAAATTTTATTTTCAAAAAAAAAAAAAACCAGTGCTCCTTTCAAGAACAAGAGATTGCCACTCCTAAATACTAGCATATGAAGTCTCTTGGAATAGATGACAATTCACATTCCCTCTTCCCAAGATACCATGCACAGTAGCAAGCTAACAGGATATACGTGAACATCATCTTAGATAAATCTGAATGACATAACACCATGACTCGAAGCAATTTTAAGTTGTTTGAATCAGAACTGCTTAGACTTAAAGACCATGACCAACAAAAGTACAAAAGCATATGACCAACTACATATCTGAACACCAGCACTGTTTCTATCACAAGGAAAAAGTAAAACAAGAACCCAATAGATTATTAATGCCAATGCATTATAAATACCAAACGGTAAAATACACATAAAAATCATTATCTGGATAATATTTACAAGAATACAGTGCCACTGCCGACTATAGGCTTACAGCTGAATCAGATTAGAAAAACATACCAGAATTTGTAACAGTATACTAGCTGAAAACATAAAAGCAAGCCCAGCAAGCCTGCATATTACCAAAAAATAAATAAATAAATAAATTTCCACTTTGCTTATAACTTCATAAAATCCAATAATTACTGACAAAGATTACAACTTACACTGCAGTTAACAAGATTCATCGAACAAACCCCAAAACAGCAAATGCACCAGAAAACAAGAGAAAAAAATCAAATTAGTCTCAAAATAATGTCAAATAAAAAAATTAAATTCGCAAACAATTGATCACAAAAAACCCAAGACCCCTCCTTAATTAGAAGATCATAGTGAAAGAAATTAAGTTCATTTCATAACCCCTTTTAATTAGAAAATCATACTCAAACTTAAAGCATCCTTCGTTTGAAAATTGTTCCAATATTTAACATTAACTTTACAGTTAGTTGAAAAGAATTAGAAGGGCAAGCGACGAAGATGAATCGAAGGGAAAAAACAAAGAAAGAAATAAGAGATTATAATTACCTTCAATAGTCATCGCCATTTTCTTCAGAAGGGAAAGTTGGCGTCGCTGTCGATCGAAATTTCGCTCAGAGAAATTGAGAAAGTTTGATTAAAGAGAAATATTAAAAAGGGTTCGGTTTTATTAGGGGATTTTACCGCCATAGTAAACCCCGTGAATCTGAATGCCACCGTGGCGATGTCGCTTTTTTTTTTTTCATTTTTGCCCTTCATATAAATGCATTCTGAAAAATAAGTCCTCCGTCAAGTAGTCGATTATCCTGTTGAAAAGCACATTCATCCTCATAATTCCAGTCTTGTATTTTACCTGGACTCGCTCACATTTGTAAATAATACATCCCAAACCCTTTAAGATAGCTTTTAAAAAAAAATGTTATTTTTACAATTTAATTTTTTGTTTTTTTTTTTTGTTTTAAAACATAATAACTTAGCATGTTTTTAAATATTTACACTAATATTTTTTATTTTTTATTTATATAATATAAATTAATTCACAAATATATAAATAATATATTATATAATTGACAAAACGACAAAGACAAAATCAAACGTGTTATTTAAATGATTTTTTTTTTTTGGTGAAGTCCATTTAATAAGCTTAAGATTTTTGTTTAAATCTTTTTAAATATTGAATTGATTTTTAGAATTGAAAATAAAAATAAAAAAAAGAAAAAAACCTGATCTTTAAGTAAGTCGACACAACAAATCTACCCGTCACCAAATTGTTTTCAAATCCTCTCAATTATCAAATTAATTATTGAACTTGAATAGATAATCGGATGTTTCAACAAGTCAACCCAACATATCTACCCTTCACACCCCAAATTTCCCTTTTTGTTCCCACAAATATAAGATTGAGTATGAAGTTCAACAAATTGAATTTTCTTTCTTTAATAAGAGAATCTCAACTCCATGGATCTACTAGATTTCATTGGCTTTTTTCGTTTTTTTTCCCTTTTGTTTGCCTTTCTTGTGGTAGAAAAATCATGATTAATAAAAACTTAGTAGCTGGGACTAGGAAGCTTAAGTTAAACAAAAAGGGGAAATTCGAAAATAGCATCCTTTAGTTCCTTATCTAACAGATACTAATCCAATCTCCGATTTTTTCATAATAATTCAAGTTACATATATATGACTCCTACTCACCTGACTAGCTACTTTCCTTAATATACGCTAAGTAAGAAATTTCCCTAAACCTTCAAGAGCTGCAATTTATTCAGGAAAGTAATAGCAATCCAGTCTAATTCAACAGGAGACCACCGAGCATGATTGATCTCAGCTGCTGCTCCATACCACATCTCTGGTTCCATGTCTCCTCCATTTTCAGATCGAAAGTTTGAGCCCACCACCTCCCATATTAGAGCCTTTGAATCGTCCCCAGCAGAACACAGCTGCTTTCCAATGAATGGAGCCCATGAAATGGCATTCACACTCCCCTTATGCTTACATAATTCCGTCAAAGGTGTAGTTGGAAACCGAATGTCAACTATTACAATTTTACTGCTGTCCATTCCTACAGTGGCCATGAACCTGGGGTCAGCCTTGTTCCATTCTAGCCTCAACAAGGGAGTTTCCGGAACAGGATTTTCATAAATTATTGTTGATCTCTCTTTGTCCCTTAAGTCAAAAACTCTTATGGAACCATCTCCGGACACTGAAGCAAACACATTGAATCCACCCCAAGAAATATCAAACACTTCCTTATCGTGCGCGACTAGTTGGGTGTCTACAGCTTCCCTCTCTATATCCCAAATGGTACAAGTAGTGTCCACACTAGAGGTAGCCACGCGACGAGTGTCAAAATCAGCCCAATCGAAAGAAGTTATGGCAGAATTGAATTCACTAGTCTTGTTGCCATTAAACAAGGCCTTAAGCTTGATGTGGTCATCATGGATTTCCCAAAGACGAAGGTAATCCCCGGACGTGGCAATCATGTCAGGATATGAGGTATCCTCGGAAGGGAAGAACATTAGATTTGTGGGAGCGTAAGGGTGGTCAAAAATCAGGCGACTGTCCGTGGTGAAATCGGATGTGTCAAGGTTGAACTGAACGAGTTCGACCTTGTTGCTATAGTCTTCAAGAAAACTGCCAATGGCAAGGCGTGATCTTTTGTCATTGCGAACAGACCAAGCTACGGAGTAAATTTGCCATTGACCTATGTAAGTGTAGACGCCGGCTTTCTTCTCTGAGGGGCTTTGCATGGTTTGTTACTGAATAATAAAAATTAATAAGAAATTAGTCTTTGAATCACTGCAAAACAGCAACAAAATATTCACAAGTTAAATTGTATTGATAGCTCTTTGATTTAATTTCTAAACATACTTACATTGCTAAAATAAAGGCGGGAATAGGGATATGATCTTCCTTGATTTAATCTCTTCCTCTTCAATAGTACTAGAAAAAATGCGAATGCAGAGACAAAAAGAGAGCGGAATGTAAAGTTAAAACTTCAGAGATGAAGAGATTCTTTTTCAGGTGTAGCTAAATGGGAGCGAAATTCAAATGAAAGAATGGAAGGTAAAGCTAATGGTCAACCTTTCACGAGCGAACCACTTGGATAATGGTGGGTTTCCCGTTTGAGTCAAGAAGGTTGCACGTGTTTATTCAGCCATCCTAAGGGTTTCCAATTCATTTACTTTTTATTTGGTAGAAATATAACTGCCCATTGACTCTGGATGAAGAAATAAAATTCCAAGGCCTTACCATTAATGGGTTGTGTTCTACCTAGTTTTTCAATTGATGAATTCACACGGCAAATAATGGGGGGCTTCTCTTCTTTATTTCATTGTCCATAAATAACCAAACTAGGTGGATACATCAACACTTTGGTTTCCTCTGATAGGAATTAGGTTCAATGAATGTGGTTAGGGTTGAGGTCAAATTCTAAAGTAGTCTTGTTTGAATTAATTGTTTATATCTGAACTATGTAAGAGTCATGCTACTTGTCCCAAAATTTTCAAAATATTTAAAGCCAATTATATATATATATATCTATATATATATATATATATATACATACAAACACATATATATGAGTTCAATTAATCTTTTTAGAGGGTTCTTTGAGTACAGAGGATATGTTGCAAACTAGTAAAATGGAATGATATGGGAGATAACAAAAGGGAAAATTGGAGCAAACCTTGAAAAACGAGTGAATTGACATATGACGGAAATAAGGTGAAGATTATGACAAAGAAAAAATTAAAAGAGAGAATTTGTCACCTTGCCCAAAGGTTCCAAATGAATTGTAGGAATTTTTATTTATAAATCTCAAAAATATGGATTACATATTATGGGTATTTAATAATATAATTTAAACGTATGACTTGATATAATTTTTTTTTAGTCTTTAGTATAATCTATCCCAAAATTATGAAATAAAAAATTTAATTTGTTATTATTGTTATACCATGAATATTTAATAAGAATAATAATAGAAATTGTCAGATACTAAAGTATTAACGTTTTCTCTTAAAAGTTTATATTATTAATAATAGTAAATAGTGGACACAAGAATGTACCATATGTATTGAGAGAAAAGGAAAAACACACGTACACTTATCTACACAAACCAAGCTGTTCAAAACATCTAAATAGTGGAGTAAACCCAAGTACCTTGTCAACCATTCCGAGGTTAGCTTCACTGCTCTTCATGTAGTGACACATCTTACCTAAGAGCGTTGTTATTAGGAAGCGCTATAAGGAGCGCTATCGTCGGGGAGCATTGTTGCCAAGTTCGAGCACTGTCGCGAAAGAATAACATTGACACCAAGAAGCATTGTCGTCGGAGAGCAATGTCGCTAGAGAGCACTGCTCCCAGGCAAACTACTCCAGAACGTGCTATTCCGGAGCAGGTTATTCGGTGGCGGATCCAAGATTTCAAGTCAAGGGACTAAACTAAATAATAATTGTAATTTAAAAAATTTTCACTTGGTATATAACATGTTATTATTTTATCAAAAATCATAAAAAAAATTTAAGTAATATATGATATTCCATAATTTAACCATAAATAATATATAAAAAAATTAAATATTGAAATAAAAAATATAACAATTTAAAATGATAGAAACTCAAATAATTTCATTTAAAATTATGCATTATGATCTTTCATAAAAAAAATTATTAGATTGAAAATTTTTAACAAATTTTCTCTTAATGTAGATAATAAGATTAAGTTTTTCTCTTAATAAATATTTATAACTTTCTAAGAGTTAAAATTAAAAATAACTTATAATTTACTACTAATGATTTCAAAATTAGAGATAAAAGATATAGTGATTTTATCATTGAAAAGGTTATAATCGCACTTTATACTGTTATTATGTAGACATCGATTTTATTCAGATCTATTATCTTTAGTTTTAGTTTAATATTAATAGTAATAACATTAATAATGATATTAATAATAATATCAATTTAATTAAAAATTAAAAATCAAAATCTTTAAAATAATCATTAAAAAATAAGAAGATAGAAAACAAAGGGTCAGTATGAAGTCGCTGCCACCCCTGTCCAACCCTCTGCTTGACTTTATCTGATCCAGCCACTTAATCTAGTCCTATCAGACCATTGACCAGACAGTCACCTCTACGATCGTTCCTACAACCACCCCTTACAGTCCTTAAGACACCCATATCGACACAGATCAGACTCTATAAAGAACCCAGCTTCAACCCCTTCTACTCTTTCTCGAACACCCCCCAAAATTTTCAAAAACACGAAAACTCCCACACCCAAAAAAAACAAACACTGCTCCTTGCCACCCCCAAAAACCCCAAACTATTCCACAACCAAAATAATAACAAAAAAAAAAAAACAACAAACAAAAGATAAAAAGAAAACAAAGCTTTCTTGCAACAAAGAAAAATAGTGTCAGTTTGAGTCTTCAACAAAAAAAAAGAAAAAAACACAAGAAACTTCGAATCCAGATCTACGATGATCAGAGCTACTTCTCGGGAAAAATGCCACGAATCTGAGCTCATGAGGTCGAAAGAAACCTCTTGGTGAATTTTGAGATTTTTCAGTCATTGGTGATCATCGACGACCATCGCCGGCGATGACTCACACGATGGCTAGCGCAGCGACACGGTGCTGAATTTTGGTGGAAACTAGAGAGAATCCTTAAAGCTCTAAAATTTTTTTCTGAGAAAAGGGTGAAATGAACTGAAAAAAAAAATTGACTTTTATAGGAAACATATGAGCAAAACAACGTTTTGAGCATAGGACCAAAACGACGTCATTTCAAGCATAAGAGGATTCGTGCGTGGAACGAACCCGACTAGAGATCCGTACAAATCGACCCGCCAACCCGCCTCTACCACCCTCCAGCCAGTTCGGACGAACCGCAGTAAACCAATCCAACTAAATCGGACAAATCGCTCCTCAGCCGACTTAACTGAACCGCACGCCAAACCCAACCCTTTTCGGTCCAATTGAACTATCGTTGATAGGACCATTAACCGGTCCGGTTCAGGTAAAAAAAATTTTTTTTGAAATTTTGAATTTTTTTATATATTATTATTTTTGTTATTTTGAGTTTTTTTATATATTCATGCATGATAAATTTTTAAATTTATTAGAATAATTATTTTATTGTTTTTAGTAATAATAAAATGAAATAAAATAGGATAATGACTAAAAAAAACTAAAAATGCTAAAAATAATAATAAAAATTTTAAAAAATAATAAAAATTGAATAATTTTTTTTTAATTTAATTTTCTCTGCCTAGATGTTGGAGAGAATAAAAACATAATTTTAAAAAAATAATTTCGCCTAGATGTTGAAAAATTATTACATACAAATTAATTTTTAAAAATGGCATAAAAAGAATACAAATTAATAAAAAACGGATATTAATAATAATAATAATACTAATAATAAAATTAATGTTATTGTTAAAAATAAATTTTCATAAAAAGGAAAATATATGAAGATTTTTAATAAATTCTCAAAAATTATAAAAATCGAACTTGCTTCGAAAATTCGCCTAGATATTAAGGATTTTTAGAGATATTCGCGTTTTCTTTAAATCTTAAATTAAACCCTGAATCCTTTAAATCTTAAAACCAAAACTTCAAACCTCAAACCCTAAAACTAAAATCCTAAAATCCTAAATCCTAAATCCTAAAATTCAAAACTTTAAAATTCAAAATTCTGAAAACCTCAAATTTTGTACGAAATCCCGGATCATTATCCGAAACTCACCAAATCTTAAAACCTCGACCTAAACCTATACTCAAAACTTTTTTGAAAATTTGAAGATACATGCGAAGATCTTAAGTGAAGTAATTTATTCTCAAATATCGCCTAGATGATAGGATATTTAAAGAAATCTTATTCCATTAAGTTTTTCTCATGAGTGTTTAATTATCTTTAATAATGGGATTAATAATTGTTTAATAATAAAAAGGGAATAATAATAAAATAGTTGCAGCAAAGCTTCGCCTAGATAATGAGGAGTCAAGGTGGTCTCATTATATTTAAAAATCTCATTTCAAATTTGTACTTCATTATCATACATAGCATTTATTGGCTTACGACACCTATATCGACACAAATCAAACTCTATAAAGAACCCAGCTTCATCCCCTTCTACTCTCTCTCGAACACCCCTTAAAATTTCTAAAAACGTGAAAACTATCACACCTAAAAAAAACAAACATTGCTCCCTGCCAACCCCAGAAAATCTCAAACTATTCCATAACCAAAATAATAACAAAAAAAAACAACAAACAAAAGACAAAAAGAAACAAATAGTCCTCTCCGTAGGGAGGAACTTCAATGCCAAAGCTTTCATGCAACAAAGAAAAATAGTGTCAATTTGAATCTTCAACAAAAAAAAAGAGAAAAAAACACAGGAAACTTTCAATCCAGATTTACGACGATTAGAGCTACTTTTCACTGAAAAGGCCACGAATCTAAGCTCAAGAGGTCGAAAGGAACTTCTTGGTGAATTTTGAGACTTTTCAGTCATCGGTGATCAACGACGACCACCGCCGGCGATGACCCACATGACGGCCAGTGTAGCGATACGACGTCAGATTCCGACGAAAGCCAGAGAGAATCCCTAAAGCTCTAAATTTTTTTTTTTTTTTGAGAAAAGGGTGAAATGAACTAAAAAAAAATTGACTTTTATAGGAAACATAGGAGCAAAACGACGTCGTTTTGAGCATAGGACCAAAACGACGTCGTTTCAAGCATAAGAGGATCTACGCGTGAATTGAACCCGACCAAAAATTCGCACAAACCGACCCTCCAACCCGTCTCTGCCACCCTCCAGCCAGTTCGAATGAACCGCAGTGAACCAGTCTAACTAAACCGGATCGAATCACTCCTCAGCAGGCTCAACCGAACTGCACGCCAAACCCAACCCTTTTTTATCCAACCGAACTGCCATTGATAGGACCATTGACCGGTCTGGTTCAGCTAAAAAAAATTTTTTTTGAAATTTTTTAATTTTTTATATATTATTATTTTTTATTTTGAGTATTTTTTTATATTTATGCATGATAATTTTTTAAATTTATTAGAATAATTATTTGATTGTTTTTAGTAATAATA